TATTTCTGTGAATAACTTTAGATTACATTGTATCTTATACCATGTTAACAGATACGGACTTTCATAATAATGATAATGCTAAAATTGCAATCCAATAGAGCAGGAATTAAAGGCAAGAATTTTAAAGTTGGGCCCAGCATGGTAGCCTAGCAGCTAAAATCCTTGCCTTGAACGCACTGGGATCCCATATGAGCATCAGTTTTAATCCCAGTGGCCCGGTTTCCCATCCAGCTCCCTGCTTGTGGTCTGGGAAAGCAGTCGAGGATGACCCAAAGCCTTGGGACCCTGCACCCGTATGGGAGACTCAGAAGAGCTCCTGGCTCCTGGTTTTGGATACGCTCAACTCTGGCATTTGCGGTCACTTGGGGAGTAAATCAGACGGAAGATCTTCCTCTCTGTCTCTCCTCCTCTCTGCATATATATCTGATTTTGCAATAAAAAAATAAAAGAATTTTAAAGCTAAAATCATTGATCACATATATATTAAATAGTGCACAAGTGTCTTTTATGTAGCACCTCAGTTGATTTGCCAGCAATGTGGTGAGAACAATAGCAATAAATTTTAGTTTAATGTAGTTCTTATGCGTTTGAAAGAAATAAAGAGCCAGGCAGGAAGTGACAGGGAATGGCAGCTCCCATCCACTGGTTTATTCTCTGAAGAGCAGTTAGTGACTAAGGTTGAGGCAAGCTGAAGCCGGGAATCAGAAACCCAGTACAGACATCCTCTGCGAGTGGTGGAGGTCCAGCTCCTTGAGCCCTCCCTTTGTGTCCATCAGGGCGGGCATCATGTTAAAGCTGGAATCAGGAGCAGAGCTGGAAGTTGAGCCCAGGTATTCTGGTATAGGTTACAGGCACCCTAACCGGCAGCTTAACAACTGCACCAAATGCCTTTCCAAGAGAACAATAACACTGTTGGCACACAGAAAAACATTGCCAGGAAATCAGCAGCAGGTGTCATTAAGCTACTAGCTGATAGATTTAGTAACAGAAACGGTAACTCCTTGGTTCTCTGGCCCACACGTCCATACTTGTCTTTTATTCAGTAACTTGTTTGGGAAAGAAGGCTATAAATATTTAACAATTCTTATAAATTTTTTCCCTTGATTTAAACAACACATGATTTTTCTTTTTGAATATTGCCAAGTTGTACAAACCCCTAAATATAGCTAAGGGGAAATGGAGGCAGGAGAGGGCTCATGGCCTGAATGGCTGCAGCAGCAGGAGCTGGGCTAGACTGATGCCAGGGGTCTGCAGCTTCCTTTTAGGCTTCCTCTGGATGCAACGGCCCAAGCACTTGAACCTCTGCTGTTTTTTCAGGCCTTTAGTAGGCAGTAGGATCAAAGGAGCTAAAACTGGGACAGGTACACCATGAGATGCCAGTGTCACAGGTGGAGCCTTAACCTACTATGCCATGGTACCAATCCCTAAGCAATACTTTATTAATTGTGTTTTATAACAGAAAAACGAACCAAGAGGCAACTAGATGTTGTAACATTGCCTTCATCTTATGAAAGAAGCACACTTGTCTAAATCAGGATTATGAAACCTGTTTTTATTTTTATAACATGCAATGTGTCAAGCTTAATCTGTCCTGATTTTTGCAGTCTTGTTACAAAAAGATTTTTTTCTTCAGCCCACATAACATTCCCTTTAATCCAAGTGTTTCTATAGTATAGTTGGTTATAAACTACCAAGAATTATCTAAATTGCTCAGGCAGAAGCAGAGGAATGACCATTTTTATAGGTATGCCTCATTTCTGAGGTCCCAATTCATTCATCGTCCACTTGAAGGGCAGAGATGGAGAGTGAGTTTCTATTTGCTAGTTCACTTTCAAATGCTTGCAACAGTTCAGAGCTTAACACAGATCCCCCAAATCACAGGTGGAAACCCAACTAGGTGAGCCATCAAGACTTTCTCCTAGAATCCACTGTAGTGGGAATCTGGAGTCAAGAGCTGGAGCTGGGAGTCAAATACTGGTGATCCGAAGAAGATCAACAATCATTGCAACCATCAGGACAAACACTCATGCTTCCCCTTTGTTTAGGCTTTCTCTTCTTCCCTTCTTTACTTTCTGGACAGCACATCTAAATAGAACCTTCAGAGACAATGGATGGTTTAGCTCTGTGTCAGGAAAATATCTTAACAGGGACTAGAATGAAAAAGGAATGAAAAAAAATTGGCAAGGAAGAACATTTGGTGAATAGCCAGCACAGTTAAAACAAGCAAGAAATAAACACTCAATGCGATGAAACATTGGTGAGACACAGCCTTGGGCTGCTGCAGGATAACCTCACACGTTCTAGCACACCGGACAGTTCTGCAGCTGTAATCTTTTGCATGGTATATGTATCTTCTGATTTTATGTATCTTCTGATTTTTTTTTTACTACTTTTGCATGCTCATTGATGACTCTGTTGCCATTAATGTATGTGTAAGGGACTCAGGATCAGTGACGTGAGAAATATCTGGATATAGTTTTAACAACAGAAACTCCATGGCTGCACCTACAGAGTTCCTGATTCAGTGATTGCGCAGAGGGTGGGGTCCAAACATCTCCCTGTTTAAAAAACTCTACATGCTCCTTTAGCAGGCTCAGGAGCTGGTTGCATGCTGCTTGATACAATCTTTCATTTGCTTTGTGCTAATCATCTTTCCTGGTTTTCTGGCTCTAGATGTGCCACTTTTATTTTTTATCCTTTGAATTTTAAAGTTCTTGTGTATTCATTTCATTTTTAGCATCCTTTCCTCACCCTGTATCCTGTTCAAACTGAATCCATACCTGTAGCTGTTTGAAAGCTCATGTTGAATTTCTCTTAGAACAGAATTTATTTGTACCTGCAAATGTACCTATGTGAGCAAAATCAGGGAAAGATAGATGAAATTGCTTCAGCCTGACAAAAGATAAACCCGAAACGAGACTGCAGAGTTCATGTTCTAACTGGGGAAAGGTGCAGATCTCATTTAGGTCAGAGGAAACAGAAATTGCTGATACAATAATTTCCAGTAATTCTTTCATAAATGCTTGTATATATTACCACATGGTTGAATTTCTCCAGGTGGCTGTTATGGGAAGAAGATGATAGTTTCAATGAATTCTTAACAGATCCTTTTGTTCAGTAATGTGACAAGACAAATTGGGAAATTATATGGAAATGAAACATAATTTAAGGAACACTTGCATAGACTCCAACAGCTCATCTGTAAGATAGCACAAGGCCACAGTCATCACAAATCGAGCGTCTCCATGTAGTTCACCAGCTACATTTTTCCTTACTGATTTCCCCCTTTCTGAGTAAGGTTCTAGTTTATATCCTGGTTGATGTTCTTGGGGAAAAGACCTAAAATATAATGAATGAAAGTATTGCGCTGATTTTATGTTTACCTATGCAATGTGAAATTTCAGTTTAGTTATCACTTTGATGTCATTCATTCTCCTGGATATTCATTGCTGAATTAGTCACTAGACTTCTAGCCAGGGGCATCCCTAGTATCTGAATGCCAATGGAAATTACTCATAAATAGTTGTGTTTGAGTAGGAAGCTCTCCTTGGAATGAAACGCTAGAAAGCGAGGTTAGTGTTCATGCGGAATGCTTTCTAACTATCCACAGTGCACATGTAACAGTAATAGGACCCCAGGTGGAAACAGGCAAAATCTCATTTCCTATTATTGTTCCTACTGGAAGGTTAAACTAACTTCAATTGTAATAATTATGTGAAAGATGCAGTAAAGAGAATTGCTAATCATAACTCAAGTTCCTTCGTGTTATGAAGGCCAATCCAGGTAAAACCAAGATTTCGAAAAAGATCCCTGAGTAAGTACACATCTCTGGAAAGCTAAACTCAACAAGCTACAAGAATTCATGTCCTCAAAGGTTCTTTTTACCTTTCATAGTTAAGAAAGTCAGTCACTTATTCTATAACGATGCCTATTTTTAAATTTAATTTATTGATGAATGAACTTCATTTGCCAGAAAATTCCAGTAAAATCTCCCTCTTGAAGATTCCACATTTCAGGATCAGCGCTGTGGTCCAGTGATTAAAGCTGTAACCTGGGACAGCAGCAGCCCATGTGGATGCTGGTTTGTGTCCTGGTGGTATCACCTTCAGGCCAGCTGCCTGTAAATGGCCTGGGAAAAGAAGCACAGAGTGGGCCAAGTGCTTGTCGCCCTGCCACTCATGTGGGAGATTCAGATGATCAGCTGCCTCCTGCTTTTGCCTCTCTCTCTCTCTCTCTCTCTTTCTCACACACACACACTTTCAAGTGAAAGAATCCTTTTTTAAAGTTCACATCGTCATTCATATTGATTTTTGCTGTAAAATAATTATCTGTACTTCACAGCAAAAGAATTTCCTCCTACTTGACTAATTCAACTGCAAAGTGAGAGGGATTTCCGATAGTTGTAATTTGGGTTTCAAATTTTCAACTTGAAGAACCTGAAATTTGGAAACCTTCTGGACTGAAATGTGCAAGAAATGTTTAGAAGTATCTCAAGTGACATTGAAACCTCATCTCTCCGTATCTTTTTGTTCAGTTCAATTGTTAGTAGAACAAAACCCTTAACAAATCTCCCCTCCCTCCAACACACTTAGCCTCTTAACACACACACACACACACACACACACACATACCCTTCTAGACAGCCGATGAGTCACTGTCCTAGAATCCTTGTATTATTCTTTAAGCTACTGATAAGAAAGGCTCAAAAGTAAAGACAAGTGATTGAAGATACAAGTTCCTTTCCAGCAGTAGGCATATCTGAACACCAAGACAGCTGGGAATGGAATGTTGAGATTTCTGATTATAATCAAATTGCACCTACTTTATTTTCATAACTTAGGAATGTTTTGATGCTATTTGAAATTGCTCTGAAAATGGATGTGCCCCCTTACCCATCTGAGGTAAATACGTACCATTTCAGCAGTATCAGTGTGTGCCAACCTGTGGCTTTGAGTGTACCGCATCTGTCTTCATGGGTTTTGGTCTACTTTGTTTTACAGCATAGGTGGAGAAGTAGGGCGAGGCCACGAAGGAAGTTACGTGGGCAAACATTTCCGCATGGGCTTCATGACGATGCCTGCTCCTCAGGACAGACTTCCCCACCCTTGCCCCACTGGTTTTTCCGTGAGATCGCAGTCCCTTCACTCGGTCGGTGGAACAGACGAGGACAGCAGCTGTGGCTCCCGAAGACAACCTCCACCTAAGCCCAAGCGGGACCCCAGCACCAAACTGAGCACCTCCTCGGAGACGGTCAACAGCACGACCACCAGTAAGAGCGGGAAGCCCCTGGAAAGATCTGAAGGTAAAACTCACCGGGTCCACTGCACTGGACCCATTTCAGACCACCTGCCAAGGCAGTACATTCCCAGGCTAATGCCTTCTTCACTAATCACATAATTCTCTAGAGGTCCCAAAAGCCAAAAACAAAGGGAAAGTTCATTCGTGTGTTGTCAAGTGACTCACAGAATGACATAATTAATTTGTGTCATCAGAAAGGAAAAGCAATGCATGAATTTTCTTCCTTAAAGCTTCAAGTCAGTAAACAATTCTGCTTCGAAATTATCTAAATTTCATATTACATTGCTTTTATTAACACCATTTGTATAATTAAAGGAAGGATTATGTGATTATTAAGGAACATTTTAGTTCAGTAAATTATAAAAAAAGAAAACACCTTGTAATTTTACCCTTTAGGAATAATCATTTTTGGTATTCCAGTTTATTTATGTCTAATGAATACAAAATTGTATATGCAGATGTACGTTTGTTTCTATACTATATATTTTATTTATCACTTTATTTCTCCAATTTCTCTTCATCTGTATTTTTTTCAGCTATGAAATGTGCAAATCAAATCTATCCTAGTATCCTTGCTGGTCTATGAATATGAATCAGGTCCCGCTGACAACAAACACTTCCGCCTGCTCTTTAGCCCTTACTGAAATAAATAAGGTCTTCAATTTCCTGTGCTTTTCCCAAGGTGGGAGAGTGCTCTGAAGTGCGCCAGCACAAAACACTCCTGCTGAGTTTTGCTTGCTCTAACCAAACCACACAGACTGGAGGACTTCAACGGGAGTCCTTTCTCACAGTTCTGGAAGCTATGGTCCCGGATCAGCATGCTACTCAGGGTGTTCTGCACACGGCCCTTTTGTGTAGGTTACAATCTGCCGGAGTCTCCTGGTCTCCTCACTCAGTGGTGAGATTAAAGTAAAGGGAGGAAGAGGAGTGAGAGAGAGAGAACACAAGCTCTCTTCTTTCCAAAGAACGAATCCCGTTAACGAGGGCTCCAGTCTTAGGAAGTGACTAGTGTGTTTTAACATCCCAGTTCCAAATACCATCACACAGCACAATGGAGTTAAGTGTGCATTTCAGTTGGAGGGGAGGGGTAGAGATCTTAAACCTAGTGCACATTCCCATTCAGTTTGATGAATCAGTTGTATGTGACACCTCAAGGTTCCCAACGATACCTATGGCCAATTCGAAAGCTATATTTTCCAATCAAGTCTGTGGTCTTCGTCCTGCCTGCTTGTCCAGCCTTCTCTACAGCGAGCTTCCTTGAATGCCCCAGGTGCCGTGTGGTACACTTTGTTTTCCACCGCTGGGGCAAATTGTCCCTCTGCTGGGCTCCACAATGTGAACAAAGCTCCCTTACTTTCCAACCTGATTTTTCCAGATAGACTGGATAGAGTGGAGATAGGAGCTCCACCCAGATTTCCCCAGTGGGTGTCAGAACTGGAGTACTTAAGCCAACATCTCATGTTCCCCAAGTGTGCTACAGAGACCTGAGCGGGAAGCCAGCACTGCAGCCAGCACTTTGATGTGGGCTGTGGGATTCCAAGCAGCCACTTAAACCTACTGCCCCACAATGCATGGTCCTGGAGTGAACATTTGTATGTGTGTGCTTGCATCTATGCTTCTATGGCTTCCTTTGCCTCCTAGTCTATATTAGGCTTTTTTTTTCATGATTTGATTATTTCTATGTCTTTTACCTGATAAAACACTGTTTCTTTTGAAACAATTTTAGTTCACTTGTTGATACATGAAAGGCTCCAAAGGGCTTACCTTCTGTATATGTTAATGTGGTCCTCATATTTCTAGCTTTGTCACATCCAGTTGATCACACGGCCAGTAACATTTATGGAAAGGTACTTACAGTGCAAATATAAGGAAATTATGGATTCTGTCACACAGGACAAATTGAGTGGCAATTCATTGTCTTAAAACTGAAGAGTTGACATTCATCTGGGATCATGCCGGTAGCTAGTTCCTTATGTGGGGTCGCTCGTAATTCTTCCCCAAGCCCTTCTATCATCTAGGGTTCTCAATGACTGCTTTTCAGACAGAATACAGCTCTATGAACTGCTAGAGGAAGATTAGGGGAAAGTGACTAATTTACCAAGCAGTTATTTAAGTTAGACTTAGACAAATATCTAATGGGTGGTAAGGCATATGTATTGGGTCGAAGTACAAGATTTCTTCTCAAAAACAAACTCTTGGGATAGATTGAGAATTGCTCAGCTGTGATCTATCAGTCTATGAGGTTACTATGTTCATAGGATAAGTTGACGGAATCCAGCTGAGAAATAATAGATCTGTAGGGAAAAGTGATCTTCATGCAAATTTTCAATTACCTTCAAAAAACTTAACAGACAAATGTAAAGCTGTGTACAGTCAAACCTCTAACAATTTATGATCTCAATAATGGGAGAGAATCAGAGCCGGTTTAGAGATGGAGAAAAATCTTGAGTTCCGATACATGCTGGCATATGTATGCAACCAAAGGCAAAATTATATAAATATGCAGATTGTTCTTATTATGACTCCTCAGTCATTTATAAGCATGAGCAAACTGGAGTTCACTGAAGAATGTATGTTTTTCTTTACAATTTTTTAGCTGTCAACATTATAACAAAGATACTAAGTGGCTTTTATAAATCTTAGGCTGTCTTTTCTTTTTATATTAAATGTCAGCAAAATCAAAATATTGATTCAATGGCATTACAGTGATTTCCATGGTAACCAGCTCCTGTTTAACTCAGGGATTATGACTTCTCTGTGAATAAAAGTAAAAAGAACCGGACTTGGAGCAAAACAGCTTTTTAGAGGAAAGTATTAATACACAAAATAATCCCATACTGGGAAAAGTATAATTCACTATTTTGAATTTGCTATTCGGTCACATTAAAAACATGCACTTATTACTGTATTTTAGGATCTTGCGTAATAATAACACCTTTGACAATTTATGCAGTAGGGAACCTAAACTAACAATCACTATTCTGTAAATATTTTAATTACTCCTTTCTGTTACCTCCATGTTGTACTTGCGTGTATGAGAAAAGATTATGTCAAATCAAGGGAGTTATCTAGGAAGAGTAAGAGGCCCTACCAAGTTGACTCAAATGTGATCCAGCAGAAGCACAGCTCAGAGTGAACACACACCCCATCTACCAGTAAGTCCAGATACTCCGTGGTGAGGCAGGACACTGCAATATTATGTGATTTGAAGAAGATATGGCTCCTAAACTCATGCAGGGCATTAAATCTTGATGTCATGACTTTATGGCACTAAGAGGGAAGAATGTCCATCCAATTATAGTGTCTAGGAAATGAGCCAACTTTCACGTCCTTAGGTCACTGGGAACATGGACCTCAGAAGCAGTTCTTGCAAAGGGTTTGGTTACAAAACCTTGACTTGCTTGTTCCTGTTTCCTGGCTGTCATTCTTCTGCATGTGTTCCTCCATTGCCACCCTGTGGCCTCACTAGATGCTGAGGCCACAAGGAAGTCCTAGTTTAGGCTTTTGGACCTCCAAAATCATGATTCAAAATAGATTTTTTTGAGATTTATTTATTTTACCTGAAAGAGTTGCAGAAAGAGAGAAAGGGAGGCACACAAAAAGATCTTTGATCTGCTAGTACACTCCAGAAACAGACACAGTGTCTAGAACTGGACACATCCAAAGTTTGGAGCCTGGAGCTGCTTTCTTGTCTCAAACATTAAGTGCAAGGGTCCAATGGTTTGGACTATCCTCTGCTGTTTTCCAGGCTACTAAAAAGGAACTGGCTGAGAAGTGAAGCAGCCAGCAATAGGACCATGCTAATAAGGGATGCGGGCACCACAAGCCAAAGATTTGCCTCTTAAGACAGTGTTGAGCCCCCAAAATAGATATCGTAATGAGTTGTACATCTGCGGTACTTTGTTACATTCATAGAAAGCGGACCAGTAGAGACAGCAGGCAAATACTTTAGTGAAGTGCTCTGGCAAGTTTGTTTCGTTACTGTTAAAGTGAGTATAAATATTTAAAAGCTACTTATTCCCTGCCTGGCTCACAGTCTTAAGAATCTCAGTAAGCCAAAGTCAATGAAAGTTCAAGGTAAAAAAAAAAATGCTAGACATAGGAAGGTCACATGTGTTAAATGTGAGATTGTTTCTTATCAATACACCTAGATAACAGGAAACTTTGGTTGGGGAGAGTGTATACGCTAAAACCAAGCAGGAAGTAAGACAAGCGATGCATGTCCATTCCGTATATATAGGCTTATAATTTTTACACATGGCTACTATTAAATATATCTTGACAATAGAATGCTGAAATTTCTGCCGTTGTCTATACCTACAACGTCATGGTATACTGAAATAGCAGAATGATGGAGGTGTGACCATTGTTGAAGAACTATCTTACAATAATAATATGGTGGGGAGGAAGTGGGGGGAAGGGAGTGGGGAAGGTGAAAGAGGAAATCCCTGAGGCCATGGAAGTGCATTATGATAAATGAAATTTTAAAAAAGGTAAAAGATAACACATTCTGAAAAGGATTTAGAGAAAAAGGAACTCTGCTGTCCTCGGTAGGAATGAGAATCAGTGTAGTCATTACTGGATATAATATAAACTTCTTAAAGTTAAAAAAAAATAGAGTTACAACATGATATTGTAAGCTGAGTATCATTCATATACCCAAAGGAAATTATATTACTATTATTATGTCAAAGAGATATTTCCCTCCCATATTCATTGCAGCACTGCACAAATAGTCAGTAAAGAATCAACTTAATGGCCCAGCTGGATACGTAGCGATTGCTGGGATTCCATATGGGTGCTGGTTCAAGTCAGGGCTGCTCCCCTTCCCATTCAGCTCCCTGCTTCTGGCCTGAGAAAGTAGCACCCAAAGCCCTGGGTGCCTGCGCAGGAGACCCAGCTACTTTATAACATTATGATATAAATGTAACATTTACTATAATGAGAAATACAGGTTTTCATAAACTTCAAACACTGCAACATTGTAGTCCTCAGAAAAACTAA